AAAATTGCAATCTCTGCTCTAGACCTGGGTTGGCAAAAGTTTGGCCCCAGCGTCGGGGCAAATCCACCTGCTTATGAAGTTTTCTTGGCGTACAGCCGTGTCCTTTGTTTTGTGGTTCAGATGTCAGCTCTGCTGCTCACCAGCTGTGGGAAGCCCGGAGCCTGGTCTCCTCCCCTAAGTAAAGCCAAAGGTAGCACCACCTGGCCAGTTGGGGCGGGGGTGCGGAAATGCCTGTGAACAGGGTTTCTAAACTGGAAGGCCTGTGCCTGAGGGGAGATTGAGTCACCTCCTCATCTGACATTCATTCTCGAATCAGTCTTGCCGCACATGTGCCCAAGCGCCAGCTCTGGGCAGGCCGCGTGTGAGGGGGCGGTGGGGGCACGGAGGTGAATGAGACAAGGGTCCCTGCCTTGGTGCCACCTGTCAAGAGGGAGAGCTGGGCACGTACACGGCACGGTGACACACAGGAGGCGAGGTCTGTGAGGGTGAGTAGATGGGTAAAGCTCACCTTGGTGTTCAGGCAGAGACCACCACGACCTTGGGATGTTCTGGAGACTTCGAACTGCTGAATGCAGCTGGAGGTGGGAGGGAGACGTGGCCCAGGGCGAGATGGGGCAAGACAGGCAGGGTGTGCGTGCCAGGCAGCGTCTGGCCTTCGCTGTGGCCAGGGGAGGCCACAGTAGGGCAGGGGGAAGTCCAGCAGCTATGGGAGGAAGTTCACTCTAGCTGAGCTTGGACACGGACCCCCTGGGGACAGAGATGGTGATGGCCAGGGCTGAGGGGCAGAGCAGGAGGATCTTTAGGTCAGGGAGCCTCCGGCACTTTCACACCGGTTAAGCAGGGGAAGGAGTTAGAGAGAAGGACCAGGAAGCTGTCCTGATTACTGGTGCTCAGGGCTGGGGCTGCTAAAACAGGGAATTATAGGGAAAAGCCCAGTCTGGGTGGATGTAAAGACATCCGTGATACTGGCATCATGTCCCTGTTGCCATTTCCCAGCTCCCAGGGAGCAACCTGGGTGTGTTAGTGTCTGGTGGCTGCCATAACAAATTGCCACAAACTCTGTGGCTCCAAACAACAAAAATTTATTCTCTCACAGTCCCGGAGGCCAGAAATTCAAAATCAAGGTGCCAGCAGGGCCGTGCTGTCTCTGAAGGTTCTGGGAGAGGGTCCTTGTCTCCTCCAGCTCCTGGCGGCTCCAGGTGTCCTGGGCTTGTGGCCACGTCTCTCCAGTCTCTGCCTCCGTGTTCACATGGCCGCCTCCTCTGGTGTCTGTGTTTCTCCTCTTCTGTCTCGTATAGAGACACTTGTCATTGGATTTAGGGCCATCTCAAAGTCCTTGACCAAATCTGGAAAGACCCTTTTCCCAACTAAGGTCACATTCATAGTCTCTGGGGGTTAGGACATTATGGACCTGTCTTTTGGGGGCCACTGGAGAAGAATAACTTGTGCTCAGCTGAGGCGTCTGGGATTTGAGAGTGATGTCCCTTCTCCTTCTGTCCTCTCCATGTGACTTCTCTCCTTCATCCCTACCTGCATCTGACAAGCTTTTCTGCAGGGAAAATGACCCTTAGCTGCCCAAGTGCAATTGAAAGTTAGCAAAAGCCCGCCAGACAGTTGGAGTAGAATTAGAAAGAAAAACAGAATATGAATAAGTCAGCCAGCTTTGCCAGGGAGGGGACTCCAAACTGAGTCTAATTATGCTCATTCCCAAGGGAGGCCGGTCCGGAAATGAATCTTGTAAAGCACAGTTTTACGAGTGGGATTTATGTGGCGATTATGAAACAGAGGACGGGCCACCTGGGGGTTAATCCTGGAAAGGAAAGGGCACTCCAGGATCATGCCCATCCCCTTGTTTTGCAAATAGGGAAACTGAGGCCTGCAGCAAGGAAATGGTGCTCACAGGTGGCACAGCACACTCCGGAGAGAGCAGGCCCGACGTCCAGCCCAGGCCCCTGGTGCTGGGCCCACTAACGCTAAAGCCACTGCGCGTGGTCACTGCTGGACCAAAAGTCTTAAATCCGCACGTGCATGGCCGCACGGCGTGAGTCAAGGACTTTGCAGGATCTGAGTTTGGGGCATGATTATTGTGCTAGGGAGGGTTTCTGCACAGCTGCTTCCCTCACCAGGAATCCATCTTCAGGCCCCTGTTTTATCATGGATGGAGAGAAATTCAATAGGGACAGCCCCACTCAGGAGTCCCTTTAGCACACCCCATGGCACCAGCCAAGGGCCCAGTAGCAGGCCCGGGCAGGTCCTGTGGCCAGCTGAGCCAGATGTCCTGCAGAGGCCATCCCAGGGACCAAGTGACCACAGGCCTGGTTGGTCGGATGCCCACGCCCTGAGGGACGCTGTGCTACCCCGAGGTCCTGGCAGGGTCCTGGGTCCTGGGATTCGGAGGTGCAGACTGCCTGCCAGGCCCCAGGGAGCTCCTGCCCAGTGGGGACCCTGCCGAGTTGGCCATGACCATGACTGTCTTCCTCTGCCAGAGTAAGGTGGGTACAAACCTCTGTGCTTGACATTACTGTTTCCCAGCAGCCACTGTGTCCAAAGTCCATTGTCTGAAACAGCAAGAGAGATTTCCCGAGGACGCTGAGGCTGTAAGAACTGTGGGCCTGGGCTGTTGGCAGGACCCAGGTTTGGGGGACTCTCTCCCCGCAAACCGTATACCAGGCCCTTGGCCCCTTTGCCTTTGGGGACTCTGTCTCCCCAGCCTGCACCCAGGCCCTCGATCTCTGTCCTTGTCCCGCAGCCAGCCTGGGTGGCCCTGCCAGGTGTTTGCCACAGAAGGCTTCTCCGTATACTTTTAAAAGTTACAGAGCATCCCGAGGCGGGAAGGGCCAGCATCTGCGCGGACACTGAGCCAGTCAGGAGTGTTGGGTCATGCTGCAGTAACAGCCAACCCCAGAGTCTCCAAGGCTGCGAACAGCCCAGCCGTATTTCCCACTCGTGCCGCGAGCATGTCCTCCAGGGTCGGCTTTGGTGCAGTCTTACCGCAGAGGGAAGAGCGTCGTGGCAAACCGTGCTGGCTCTCCACCTTTCATCTTGGAGCCGGCATACGTCGCTCCTCCATTCGCTGGCAAAAGCAACACGTCCTCTGGCCGCTCTGGGTCCTGGAGGGCGGCATGTTCGGAGAACCCCCAGATGCAGCATTTCCGCTTTGTCCCGTTGCATCCTGCCCACCCCCCAGGAGCCGTGACCAAGGAGATACAGCAGGAACGAGTGTCCTGACAGCGACACATGCAGGGGGCCCGTGGGACCTGCACTCCCCAGGGCACTTCTGCTTCTACCACAGCTTCCTTGGCCGTCGTTTGCTGCTCGAGTTCCGCAGAGACGGTTTAGGCCCTGCCTGCCCTGACCCTTCGGTGCAGAACGTTGAACAGGTGCCGCCACGCTGGTGCGCGTGACGTTTCATACACAGCCGCGCTTTTCCTCCAGGCACCATTTCAGTGGTGTTCGGTAGCAGGCGAAAGCCATTCCCAGCAGACAGAGTGTCACGGAAAGTCACCTGCAGCACGCTGGCCTCCGAAGGATGGGTCGCCAGGTGGGCGTTGGTGAAATTAGCAGGAGTCTGCCACTTTTTCGAGCTTAACCTTTAGTATCATTGTTCATTATTTAATCTCTGCTTCTTTTCACACCAGAAAACCATAGTTTCCTGGGAAGCCAACCAGGCATTGATGACTTAGCTCATTTCCCTGCCTTTGTGTTTTTTATGTGACTCCGTTGCTGGTTAATGACGCTTCCAGCAAGCAAGATCTGCGTGTGAGCAGAGACCTTCCTTGGTGCCTCTGACTGCACAGCCATCTTCCCCGGCATGTTATAACCTCTGTGTTTACAGAGGTCAGAAAGCACCACTTTCTCATTGAGAAAGGAAACAGCGTGGGCTGGAGGCGGGGGAGGACCGTGGGCTCCCAGCACATGCGTCTCAGAGTTTCAATCAGTATTCTCCAGATAATAAAAATAATAATAATAATTATAATGGCAACTGACATTCATTACACTTTGCAACGAGTCAGGACATTGGGCTTTGCCTCTGTTAATCTTTACAAGAAAAGTAGGAGGTTAGAACTGTTAGCCCACTTTGCAGATGAGGAGATGAGTCCCGGAGGGCTGGGGAACTCATCCAGGATCACGTTGCTAGGAGGCGGCAGTGCTGGGGTTCAAACCCCAGAGCTCGGACTCCAGGGCTCGCACTCACACGAAGTCGGAGGGAACAGGCTGTGCAAAGCCCCGTGCAGGGCTGGGGGGACCAGAGACCGAGGCTGTCACTGTCACAGCCTTTCAGACAGGGTGACTGGCGTGTAGGACCTGGAGCTGGGAAGCCAGATGGGCTGGTGTGCAGGCCTCGCCCATTCCAAGGGCTCTGGCTTGCTGCTGGGCAGCAGGGAAGGGGCACGCTTTGGAGCCTGGGAGGTTGTGAGGCCGGATCTAGCTTGACCGCCCACTGCGGGGCTACCTGGGCAAGTTGCTTGCCCTTTCTGTGGTCCAGTGTAGCTTTCGGGGGCGCTTTCTTTGCAAGCTATAAAATTCTTGGTGCTAAACAAGAGCTGGCAATTTATTGGCTCCCATATTTAGCAGTCTGGGAGAGTGACTTCAGGTTCAGCTTGGTCCAGGATTCAGAAGATAATACCAGGTGTTTCTCTCCACTCTGCCTTTCGTGCTGTCTGCCCTGCCCTCAGGCCCGGGGGTTCTGCTTGTCACAGCAGCAGACAGAAGCCCCTTCTCTCTACACTGCCGGCCCAGCAGGGAGGACCGAGCTGCATCCCAGAGCCCCGTATTCCAGGTCCCAAGAAGGCACAGATCAGAGCCCAGGGTGGGCTGACCCAGAAATGCAGAACCTTTGCCCAGACTCTCTGGGCTGTGGTGTTTCGGGGTCCTGGGAGCAGAGCACTGGCTCACACCATAGGGCAGATGGCGTTGCCTGGGAGAGGTGTCGGAGAGACCCAGGGGAGGCAGAGCGGCAAGGGCGCCCTACTGCCTCTTCCTTGACTGCGCCGCCCCAGACATTGTGGACATCAAGCCAGCCAACATGGAGGACCTCACGGAGGTGATCACAGCGTCTGAGTTCCACCCGCACCACTGCAACCTCTTCGTCTACAGCAGCAGCAAGGGCTCTCTGCGGCTCTGCGACATGCGGGCGGCTGCCCTGTGCGACAAACACTCCAAGCGTAAGTGCCCACACCCCGGGATTGTGTGGCAGGTGGGCGGGCGGGTGGGTGGGGAGGCGCCCCGTCTTGTGCTGGAGCCGCAGGGGTGGCAGGCGTGGGCCAGCATGTCCTAGACTGGCCAGGGTGGGCGGGTGCCATGCTTCTTTGGTGCTGGCTGGCCAGGGAGCCTGGTCTTGCCACCTGCTGCCTCCCCCCACCCAGAGTCCCTGCACAGCTAGGAACTGTGCAGCTTCCAAGGGTCAGGCTACTAGGATGAGGGTCAGAGGACCTGGAAGCTAAGGGGGCACCAGACTAAGGTGTCACCTCCTCCAGGAAGCCTTCTCTGACTCCCAGTTGAGTCAGGACCCTCCTGTGTACCTCCATAGCCCCCAAAGCTTCCCTTTCTCACAGAACTGGCCACACCCTGTGGAACTTTCCATGGGCTGCCCCACCTCCCCCAGCAGCTGTGAGCTTCCTGGGGGCGGGGTCTGTGACATGTCACCTCCTTGTCCTAGAGCCCACCATGGGGCCTGCCATGAGGGCTCCCACGGGGGTGTCTGGGGAGGTCTGGGGCTGAACAAGGCCCAGGGACACACTCTAACACAGCATCACCAGCGCACAGCCCACGTTCCACAACCACTCGGAGCCCTGCCCAGCCAAGCGCTTTACTCGAGTTCTCTCATCTAATCCCACAAACTCCGGGGGAGTTGCTGCATGGAAGAGGAAACTAAGGTTCCAGGGGTTGGCCCAAGGTCACCCAAACTGAATAGTGGCAGGGCTGGGCTGCTTGGTGCTGGGTGGTGACTGCCAGCTGCACACTGTCTCTTGGTCCCCAGAGGCCCCTGAAGGCACAAGATCAGACCGTGGTGTTGTCCTTCCCAGGTCACCCTACAGGGGTAGCAGGGACCCAGGAGAGTCCCCTAGCTAGAGGGCAGGGACTTTGTCTGGGTCCCCTCTCTGTGTGTCCCCAGTGCCTACAACAGTGTCTGGAAATGAGCCAGCAAATGAGAGATCCAGGGGGGCCCTAGAGGGGCTTTATTAAAGCCTGGGGGCCAGGACGGGCACCTCACGCCTGTAATCCCAGCACTTCGGGAGGCTGAGGTAGAGAATCGTTTGAGGCCAGGAGTTCAAATCCAGCCTGGGCAATAGTGAGGCCCTGTCTCGACAAAACATTGGCTGGGCGTGGTGGTGCGTGCCTATAGTCCCAGCTACTCAGGAGGCTGGGCAGGAGGATCCCTTGAGCCCAGGAGTTCAAGGCTGCGGTGAGCTGTGATCATACTCCAGCCTGGGTGACAGAGCGAGACCCTGTCTCAAAAAAAAAAAAAAAAAAAATAGTCTGGGTGCAGGTGGCAGAGGGCTGGTTGGGAGTAACAGGGCCACACTCTTCCCCTGGGCAGCCTGGTTTCGCTGGGCAGTCGCAAATGGGGTGCTACACCAGGCCCGGGCCCTCCAAAGCCTCTAGTTCCTCCTCCTTCCTTGGCCACGCCCTGGCCCACGTCCCACCCCTAATCTTCTCCAGGGCTGCCCATGGTCCACGTGTCACACTCAGCCGTCCAGGCATTCAGTGAGCACCTGTTCCCAGCATGGGGACACAGCAGGGAACCCACAGGCAGAGGCCCTCCCTCGAGGAGCTGACGTCTGTGGGGGACAGACAGTGGACACGTAACTAGGTGATGTGATGTCAACAGCACCCACAAAACTGGTGCAGGGCTAGAGGGTGTGAGGGAGGGTCACTGAAGAGATCACTGTGGAACAGACACCCTGAGGGGCGAGCCATGCCAACCTCTGGGAAGAATGTTCTAGAAGGAGGGTACTGCAGGAGCAAAGGCTCTATGTGGCCAGAAGGGGGTGGAAAGGCAGGAGCCAAGTCAGTTGGACGAGGCGGATGACGTAGGGCACCGCCCGGAGGTCCAGGGAAGGACCGAGTTTTTTCTGAGTGAGCCGGGGACCGCGGAGGACGTGAGGGTGGGGACTTGGAGGGGAGAGGGTGCTCAGAGGCCTCCCCACGGGAGGAGTCGGAGGGCTCCTGCAGGGGTGCACTCGAGGAGTGACGGTGACCTGGGAGGGACAGGAGGCGGGGCAGGGCCTCCTGGCTGCGCCCAGATGTTCCTTGAGGGTCGAGCTTGCCCAGTGGCGAGTGGCTGTGCGGTGATGCTGTGGTTTGGTTTGGCGAAGGGCGCCGTGGCCGGGGGCAGCCGGGAGCGGGGTGGGCCAGACGCAGGCTTTGGGTCCCTTCTGGGCTCCGAGGAGTGGTCAGGTGGGCAGCCGACTTGGGGTCTGGGGTCCGGCCCGGTGCTGACGGGCGCCTAAGGTGAGGGAGTTACCTGCGTATGGATGGGTGGGAGGCCCAGGGTCAGGGGGCAGGGCTGTCCCCACAGCCACAGCCCAGGCTGGATCCCTGTCGTGTGGTTGCCACAACAAGTGACCACGCACTCGGTGCTTAATACGACGCAAGTTTATTCTCTTGCAGTCAGAGGTCCAGCACGGGTCTGTAGGGCTGTGCTCCCTCTGGAGGCTGCAGGGCACCGGTCTCCCTGCCTCTTCAGCTTCTAGAGGCATCTGCGTTCCTTCGCTCATGCCCCCCGCCCCGCCCCCGGATGTGGAAGTCCGCAGCAGCGGGTCGAGCCTTTCTCATGGCTCTGACCCTCCTGCCTCCCTCTTCCATTTATGTAAAGTCCCTTGTGACCACATGGGGCCCACAGGGATAACCGAGGGTGATTTCCCCATCTCAAGGTCAGCTGAATTGCACCCTTAATTCCATCTTTGACCTTAATTTGCCCTTGCCGTGTAGCAGCATACTCATAGGTTCCAGGGATTAGGGTGTGGCCATTGCTAGGGCTGTTATTCTGCCCACCACGGGGCACTGCCCCTGCCACCTTATGCCCGCCACCTATTGACTGAGGCCACGCATGCCCCCAGTCTGTGCCTGTGTTGAGCTCTGGGTCAGAATGGCATGGATTAAGAGTGGGGAAGAGAGGAAAGGCTGGGTCCTGCTACCAAGTCCAGCCCTGACCCTGTCTGAGCCCTGAGGGAAGGAAGGTGAGGCTTCACGGCACGTCCTTCTTTGTAGGGGTGGAAGTTTAGGGACATTCTCCACGTGCAAGAGAGAAAATGGTAAGTCAACATTGATGACACCCATATGATGGAATATTGTTCCATCATTTCAAATATCGTTTTAGAAGATTTTTTTAATAACATGGAAAAATTGCTATGTTAAAAGATTTGGTGTGGACAAAAACCAAGGCAATGACTACCCAAAAAATGGAAGCAGAGAAAACTCTGGAAAGAAATATGCCAACATGTCCCTGCATGGTGGACTGTGAGAAAGGGATTGATATTTTCTTTACGTTTTTCTGCGTATTTGTATTTTAATAATGGATTTAGAGGTTGAGCCAGAGAGCACATGCGTGTGCAGGAAGGGTGAGTGCGGGGACTCCCGCGCAGGACACGCTGTTCTGTGCGCCCCCCGGATGTTCGAATGATGTTCCTGGGGGCTGGAGGGAGAAGTCAGCGCCCCCCTGGGCTCCTGCAGCGCTGGCCACCCACATGGGCCGCCGTCACGAGGACCTTGCGCACTTCCTGGGTCCGGGCACAAATCGTGGCCACGTAATTTCATGCTCCTGGAGGAGTGCGAGCCACATGCGAATCAGCCCACGAACTCAAGGGTGCAAGAAACGTGGCTTTCGATGACTCAGTTGTCATTCCATGCCCCCGTCTTCCATGGATGCCGTGAGCACTAACTTTAGGGCCTTGGCAGGATCCGCCTCTCCCCAGACTGCACTGAGCTTCCAGAAGGCTCTTGCAGGTCCTGGGTATGGAGGGAGGGATATGGGGTCTTCAGGACCTCCCTGGGCTTTTGACTGTGCCTGGGTGACCTTCGGGTCAGGTCTCTTGCTGAAAGCTTCCCAAGGGCCCATTCGCTGGCTGCCTGGTGACTCGCCCGGGAGCTTTGGCCGGCCACCCCACATCTGCAGACACGGCCACGGCTGCCTGCGATTTGCTAGGGTTTCATGGAAGCTTTGCACGCACGCGTTCATAGGCGAAATTGGCCTTTAATTTTCTTTTCCTGTACTCTCTTTGCCCAATTTTAAGGTTATTCAACTCTCCTAAAGTGAGCTGGGCAGATTTCTTTTTTTTCTGGAACAGTCAGTATAATATATCTGCTTTTTAAACTGTTAGTAAAACTCATGTGTAAATCTATTCAGTGAGAAATTCTTTAAACAGCCAGTTTAATTTCTTTTTTGAGTAAGGGTTTATGCAGGTTTTCTATTGGAGTTAATTTTGTATTTTAAATTTTTCTAGAATTTTTTTCATTCTCAAATTCAATATCCTGTATAGAAACTTTCTCTTCAATGTCAGTAAAAAGACTGTTTACCTGGCTTTTAAAAAGGCTTCACAGCATCTATTTTTTCTCATTTTAATTAGCTCCAGATAGGCAGTGAGTAGTTGAAGTTTCTGTCCCGTGCGCTTTGTCCAGACCTTGTTTGTCTTGGTCCCTAGGGGGAATCCAGGAACCCCAGTCGGCAGGCCGCGGTGGTTGTTTTTAACCTGAACACATGGTTGTTACTTAAGCTAAATTCTTGTAAAGAGACTTGGAGATTGGGGTTAGTTCTTGCCCGCTTTCTTCTATTTGTCCAGTTACTGCTCAAAACTCAGGGAGCGGCTGGCAGCGACACCCAGAGATAAGTGTTCGCAGCGTCATTTTCCTAACAGAATGAAACGCGATTTCCTGTCTGCCGAGTGAAGGGCGTCCCCGTCACAAGGGAACATTCGTCTCTGCCGTTGGACAGATGCGGAAACCGAGGGTCTGCGGAGCGAGGCGGCTCCCCCAGGCCTCGCCCCGCCAGGGCAGAGCCGGCGCACACGGCCCCTCTGCTCCGCCACAGCTTCCCGCCGCTCTCTGAAACGCTAGAAATCAGGCTTTTGTCCGCTTGGCATCGTGACAGGGTAACCATGGCAATGATCGCACGTGAGTTCTCAAAATAGACAGTTATTTCTGCTTTTGACAGCACAGAGTCTGC